CCTTTGGCTCAGGTTGTGATACCAGGGTCCTAGGATCGATTTCCGCCTCAGGCTCCCCACATGGAGCCTGCTTCTCCCTTGGCCTATGTCTCTGCCTCTCTCTTTCTCTGTGTCTCTCATGAATAAATAAATAAAATCTTTAAAAAAAATTTTTTAATAAAAAAAAGTAAAAATTTGATGCATGTTGCATTCATTGTAAAGGCATTTTTCCTCCATCATATGGCCCTCTATCCCAAAGCAAAATTAATTTCTGACTAAGGAATGGAAATGTTGCTCCCATCCTATATTTATGTATCATAATATTCTAAATCTTTAAGATACAACAAAGTAGAAAAATTAAAAAACGGGGTCAGAAAAGAGATAAATACTTGAAATATCAAATGTTTTGTAATTTTTATGTAACAATTTCCTACCTGTTTCTAAAGACTATTTCTCAACTTTCAACACAGGATGCGATAGCCTTACCTTTAAGCAGAATAACTCAATGAAACTCAGACCATTCTCTGACCTGGCTCTGATTCCCTCCTACAAATACACCTGGCTCCCTACTCCCCAGTGATTCCAAAGTACAGTTCTAAGAGCCAACTCTACTTCACTTCAGATTCCTTTCCCATTCCTAAGATTTTAAAATCTCTATTCTTTCTCTATTACTTCTAACATGCAGTTTCCTTTTCATAATCACCTTCAAAAGAAATAAAGAAAAAGTATGCAGAAGTACATTAACATGTAGTCATATTTCACATAAAAAGTAATTAAAGATTAAGTAAGAGGTCTTGGATCATGGTTTGTTTCCCTGACTCAGCTTTCTGTAGCAGCACTAACAGAACTCTCTTTTGACATTCAAATATTCTATAACTACTGCTACTAAGGTAACCTCCTGCAACAGGTGAATGGGACTATGAACACTGGCTAATGTGACTGAGGAAAAGCATTTTTTTTAAATACATATCATTATTTCTCTTATTTTTTATTGAAGTATACTTGATACACAAGGTTACACTACTTTAAGGTATACAACACAGTGATTCAACAAGTTTATACAACACCATAAATTATGCAGAGCTGATAAGTAGAGCTATCATTGGTCACCATACACTATTACAATATCATTGATTATATTCTTTATGCTGTACATTCATCTCCATGAGGAGGAATAGCATTTTTACTTTGATGGTTTAATATTCTAATACTGAATAGTGTAGCTCTATAGCCAATCAGGAATCTGTCAAATATTTGTTCAGTTTTTCTTGTCATTAATTTCCCCTTTTTGACTAATGCCACAGTACTCCAACACCACACATACCACATATGTGCCTGGATGGCTCGGTCAGTTAAGCATCTGACTCTTGGTTTTGGCTCAGGTCATGATCTCAGGGTCATGAGACAGAACCTTGCCCTGTGTCAAGCTCCAAGATCAGCATGGAGCCTGCCTAAGATTCGCTCCCTTTTGTCCCTCCCCCTCCCCCTTTGTTCCTCTCCCCACTCTATCTCTCTCTCTCCAAAATAAATGAGATTTTTTAAAAATAAATTAAAAGATTTTTAAAACATTATTTCTCTCCCTACATTCCACAAAATGTTATTTTAACATTAAACGTTATTAACTATATCATTCTCAATGCTCAAAATTCAACATCTAAAAGAAAAGTAAGAAAAAAGTCCAAATGGCATCAAAATATCACAATCATGATTTGATGGATTTTTCTGGCCTTATCATCTATAAAAATCTCTGATTCAGTAAGGGGGGGAAATTTACTCATTATTCCCCAAAAAGATGTTAAGCTTTCTCATTAGCTATAATGCTATCAGTAATAGATGATCTCCTTGTGTCTGCCCATTAAAAAAAAAAAATCAAGTCCTCCTCTTCCTCACTCATGAAAACAAACCCTTTTTGATCACTGTAATACCAAAGTAATTATCACTTATAAACTACAAAGCTAATTTATAAATAAATTTAAATAGCTAATATGGACTTACTGCTTTTACAAATCTCTTATTGTTAACTTTTCATTTCTTTCAGGCCTTGGTCCTAACCTTTAAGGCAAGGGCATATCATATACCCTGAGAGTAGAGCCCTCCACAGAGCATTCATTCAATCAGATGTTAATTAATTCAAAGGAGATAAAGAAGGATGGAAGGAAACAACTATTAAGTTAGAAATTTCTCTGCAAAGAACCCAAACATGATTCCTTGGCTACATTTAGAAATTCAAAATACAGATGAATTTTGGAAAGGCTCCAGGATTGGCAACATTGCTCAGTGCTCTGGGGGAGTTTTCTTTCTTTCTTTTCACATCTTTAGCAAAGACTACAGTTGATGAAAGGAAACTGAAATGTTTGTGGGTCTAAACCAGAGACTAGCCTCCTCCTGAGGAATTAACAAGTCCCTCCTAAATAGCTTCTAGTAAATTAATAAAATGCATATCCTCAAAAGGCATCAATGAGGCAAAAGGGTACTATGAAGGAATAGAGAACATCATCGCTCTTCACAAAAAAAGGGAAAATTTTTACCCCATGGAAAAGCTATTTATTTTCTTAAAAATGTTTGATTAAGGAGATCCCTGGGTGGCTCAGTGGTTAAGCGCCTCCTTTGGCCCCGGGCGTGATCCTGAGGTCCCGGGATCGAATCCTGCATCAGGCTCCCTGCATGGTGCCTGCTTCTCCCTCTACCTGTGTCTCTGCCTCTTTCTCGTTCTGTGTCTCTCATGAATAAACAAATAAAATCTTAAAAAAAAAATGTTTGATTAAAAGTTAAAAAGTAAAACTCACTGGGGTTTAATTTATTATCTTTTTAAATAGTCTTAAGTAGAACAAAACTTTATTGCCAGTCCCCAAGTATTATTCATTTAAAATTAATTTAAGCCAGAACACCAAATGACTCCTTTTGCTTCTCTCCAGGAAACATAAACAGATAAAACTGACATTTTAAAATTAGGTATTTTCAGGATGCTTGGGTGGCTCAGTGGTTGAGCGTCTGCCTTTGGCTCAGGGTGTGATCCCGGATTCCCGGGATTGAGTCCCACATCGAGATCCTTGCATGGAACCTGCTTCTCCTGCCTCTGCCTATGTCTCTGCCTCTCTTTGTCTCTCTCATGAATAAATAAATAAAATGTTTTTTAAAAATAAAATAATAAAATTAGATACTTTCTCAAACACTTTAAGAGTGCTTAAACTTCAATTATATCTTTATTTTTAAAAAGACAAAAAAAAGTGCTTAATGCAAAAACACAATACTAGCAGCTCATTAAATGCACAATAATGCAAAGCACCAAACTAAGTGCCTAATGTTCAACGCCCCAACCCCAAATCCAGAGCTGTGATCACAGCACAACATCTTTAACATAATCCATGTTTTTATCAACTTTAGATTATGTACCTACATTTGAAAACGGCAAAAGAATATTGATCTTGATCTTAGCAAAGGATGGCCAACTGCTAAACTCAATTCCTTCTCTTGAGTTTATTTCAAAAATAATGAAATAACCCATAGCTCTGTCCCATCAAGGTGGAGGGGGGGATAGGAAAGAGTGGGGCCAGTACAGGAGCCAATCTTCTCTACATTGTTTTATAGCTTTGCAAGAGTCAGGATTTGCTTAGAAAGTGATGACTCCTGTCTAGTTCCATAAACCAGCTTCCCTTGGTACTGTGTAAGAGCAGGGTACATATTTCTTTAATTTCTTTACTGTTACTCTCAGAAACTAAAACTTTCCCTTAAGATAAAGAATAAGCCTTTAAACCTAATACAAAAGTGATCACAAGAATCAAGTTATGTAAACTGAAAACTTATTTAAACATCTATTAGACTTATGTATATTAAATGTTATTGCCCCAGAAGTATTCTATAATTTAGCTATCTGATAGAACTATTTTTTTCAAGTTTTAAGGAAATTAACATAGTGAAATTGGAAAAGTACAAATTTCAAACAATAAATCAGTATCTAGATATAGATATTTCATGTCCACACAGTTTATACTCCATTCAGTTAAGTGACAGAAAGGGGTGTGTGTGGAAAAGGAAGATGAAATAAGGAGTATAAAGGATCACCACAGTAGAGAATCAAAAAAGAGAAAACCCTACCTATCTTGGGCAGAAATAACTGGATAAATGAAACAATGAACATGAACCTTTCAACCACAGATAAGGAGACAAATTTAACCAAAGCCAATGAAGATCTTTGAACAATCCAACATCTGTTGCTTATGTAAAAGCCTATATGAAATGAATTGGTGATCTCAGTTCAGATATCCTGGAGGTCTTATTAATGTGAGTGTACAGTACTGAAGGTAACATGTATAGAATAAAAGTAGATTCCATTTCAGATATGGGTAAACAGCAATTACATTAAATTACTATTTTCACAAGATATCTGAAATGGCTCAAAATTATTCAAAATTTTGCCATTTCCAGAAATAACTATTAAATAATATCCATTATGGCTCAAATGCACATACATTAAAAAATATATACCAAAACATATTTACGTTGTGGGATTTTTTTTTTAAGTATACAGCAAATTCTGAGATCTTAACCTTCAAGAACTTTTCTTTTTTAATTTCATAAAGAAAAGCTCTCATGATAGCAAAGAGAAGGTAAAGAAAAATTCCCAATTTGGTAAAATATATATCACTACCAGTTTTCAGAAAAAAAGTTGTGCTAAGCTATTATGATATTAAACAGGCTTATCAACAGTAATTATTAAAGAAAAATTTTTAAATACTAAGTTGATTAGTATTACTTGTTAGAAGAGATGAAGTACAATAAATGCTTTAAATATATAAATTAAATTAAAAAAATCCCACAACATAAACCAGGCAGAGTAAAGTTAGCTGGTTTTATGTTTGGCTTTGTTTTAAAATAAGCCAGTATACATACAAGGGCTTTATATATATTATCACTTCCTAAAAACAAAAATTTTTCAATGATTTAAATTTGGCAATTCATTTCTTTAAGATCCTGACCTAATTATCTGATACTACATTTTAGAAGTCATGAATTCCACTTACCACATATTTTACAGCACTTATAAACTGGTTGTGGAAGAGCAGATGCTGTGTTTCATCTTCTGGATTTGAAGCTGTGTAAAGCATGCCACAAACATTACAGGAAACTGCTCCAAATCTTTTTTGTCCTGCATCCTATTTACAAAAAACAAACAGAAGTGTTTTTTTCCCTCCCAAAGGAATAATTTCAGAACATCAGCCTCTAAAGCTAAAATGGGAACATAAAGTGAGAAATGTTTAATGTATAACAAAAAATATTCAGTGTTGATCAAAAAAAAGATATTAATCTGTGAAATCTGTGTATAATTTTATTAAGAACCGTTTCCATTTTAGTAATCTGATCACTCACTCCACAGCATTTAATAATTGAAAAGAATTAAGAAATACCTTTTAACACTACAATCTTATTCCTAAAGCTCCAAACAGGAAATATTCTATAAATGAGAATGAAGATACATTTTATATCTGGAATAATTAAACTGCTAAAGCTAAAAGGAAACAGCTTTTCACAGACTCATTCTTTTTTAATGTCTTAAAGTATGTTCTTTTCAGCGGTTTTGCTCTACTTTATAGATATCAAAAAGAATATTTTGATGTCACCAGAAACTCCTAAGATAATAATTTTTTCTATTCTCTTCATATTAAATAAGTAGAAAGTACAATCATCTATTCTCCAGTAATTCATACTTGTACCATGTAGAATAGTAACTGTTTACAAAACATTTTCTATTCTTGTCCTTATTCAACAAGAAATTTTCAGCAATATGATCTATGTTTAAGAATAATAAACTCAGTAGGTTAAGTAGCCGACTCTTGATTTCAGCTCAGGTTATGATTTCTGGGTGAGACAGAGCCCCATGTTGGATTCCCTACTGGGTGTGGAGCCTATCTAAGATTCCCTTCCTCCCTCTTCCTCTGCCCTTTCAGTAGCACATTTTTTCTCTAAAAAAAAAAAAAAATAATATAAATTTTAAAAAGACAATAAACGAATAATCCCCTTTACTCTTTCTACTCTAAAACTGTGCAATTTGAAGAGATTTTTATTTATTTGAGAGAGAGCACACACAAGCACAACTGGCGGGGAGGGGCAGAGAGGGATGGAGAAAGTCTCCCACCAAACAGGGAGTCTGATGTGGGGCTCAATCCCAGGACCCTAAAATAATGACCTGAGCTGACAGCAGCCACTTAACTGACAGGGCCATGCAGGTGCCCCTGAAACTGTGCAATCTGAATTACTCAAAAAAAAAATAAAATAAAATCTAAGACAATGGCATCTCTAGTGTCTCAGAACCAGGATCAAGTAGCAAAGAGAAATCAAATGGTAAATAGAAGATTGTATATAGAACTTAAGGAAGTTCATTCTAAATGATTCAAACTATTAACAAATTGTTACATGAACTTTATTTCAGACAGTTAAATTTTTTTTTGTAATTGTGATATGACATATATAACAATATTTACCATCTTAACGATTTTTAAGTGTACAGTTCAGTGTTTAGTATATTCACACTGTTGTGCCACCACTCTTCAAAATTCTTTTCATTTGAAAAACTGAAACTCTATACCCACAAACTAAACAATAGGTTCCCAATCCACTTTCCTGCTCCTAGAAACCACCATTCGACTTTCTTTCTCTGAATTTGACTACTCTAGGCACCTCATAGAAGTGAAATCATGCAGTATTTGTCTTTCTGTGACTGACTTATTCCACTTAGCTGAATGTCCTTAAGATTAAACCATATTGTGGCATATATCAGAATACCTTCTTTTTTAAGGCTGAATAATATTCCATCGTATGTATATATCACATTTTGTTTATTCATTCATCCCTGGTGGATACTTTGGTTGCTTTTACCTTTTGGCTAGTATAAATAATGAAAAGCAGTGTACTCATGGTAATGAGTAAACATCTCTTCCTCAGTTTCCCAACTGGTAAATGGGAAATAATAATAGTACCTACCTCATACTTTAAAAACTAAGGCTTAATTAAGTTAATATGAGTGAAGTACATAGAACAATGTACTCAAAAAGTATTAGCTGCTATTATGATCATTATCATCAACTCTTCACCAGAACTGAATAGAAATTTGATCCCCAAATGTAATTTTAAATTTTCTAGTAGCCATGTTAAAGCATGTTAAAGCACAAACATATGAAATTAATTTTAAATTTTATTCAACAAAACATCCCAAATGTTATCATTTCAACATGTACTAAATAGAAAAAAAATTATTAGTGAAATACTTTACATTCTCTTTTTTGTGCTAGTCCTTACATGTAGTAAATACACTTACACTTATAGTGTATCACAGTTCTGACGAGGTCATTTAAAATACTAAATGGCCACATGTGGCTACCATATTGGACAGTGCAGCTCTAGATTCTACTAGTCTAATTCTGCTTCACTTTCATATTGATTTAACAACAGAAACACAAGACGTCTGGGTGGCTCAGCAGTTGAGTGTCTGCCTTCCGCCCAGGACATGATCCTGGAGTCCCAGGATCAAGTCCCGCATCGGGCTCCCTGCATGAAGCCTGCCTCCATGTCTCTCATGAGTAAGTAAATAAAATCTTTTTAAAAACAAAACAAAAAGCCCCAGAAACATTAAATCTGATGAAACTTTTCCTGATTAATTTTTCTCAAATATTTCTAGACAACTCTTACAAAGTTATTCCCCTATATTAAAGGTAGAATGAGTAATGTACTCCAGAAAACTCCTACTGATAATGCTGATTGGAATTACATTAAATTTTCCTATGTAAAATAAAGTACCCATCTGTTACAAACAAAACTGAAAGTATGGAAATTTGAGTTTTTATTTGTGATAGGAAAGACTCCCTATTGAGGAGCCAGAGGGCTATCTGTAATGATAACAGGAGTATTTCCATAATGATTTATGGTGAAAAAAAGGCTCTTTGAAAAAAAAAAAAAAAGATGAACTTGTTTTTTAACAATGTGCATAAATAAGATGATTATAATAATCCTTCACCAAAAAAGTCAAGTTGGATACTTACTATGATCAACTGTTTTTCATCAACTTTCTCTGCTTCTTTTAGTTTCAAAACCTTTGGAATTGTTATCTCCAAATGGGAATTACACTTAGGCCACGAATGATTTGGTGGTGTCTCCCTTAAAAAAGCGAAACAAAACAAAACACCGCAATGTCATAGAACTGTACCACTTCAAAGTACTAAAGTGGGGAAAAAAAGAAAACTTTTTCTATACAACACACATTTCAACTCCAAGAGGGGAAAAATAACCTTTTAAAAATAAAAGGGAGAAAACCTAAGAAAATTATTTTCAACAAAATAAACAAAAAATTGGGGGATCCCTAGGTGGCTCAGCGGTTTAGCACCTGCCTTTGGCCCAGGGCGCGATCCTGGAGTCCAGGGATCGCGAGTCCCACGTCAGGCTCCAGGCACGAAGCCTGCCTCTCCCTCCTCCTGTGTCTCTGCCTCTCTCTCTCTCTGTCTCTCTCATAAATAAATAAATAAATCCTAAAAAAAAAAATTGCTATACCTACTATAGTTTGAGTAAGTTTTAAGTTTTTTGGATAGTTTTAGCCATCTGACTCACTACAGTTTGTCCTAAATATTGTTTTTGCGGGGCGCCTGGGTGGCTTAGTGGCTGAGCGTCTGCTTTGAGCTCCAGTCATGATCCTGCGGTCCTGAGATCTAGTCTAGTATCAGGCTCCCCACAGGGCCTGCTTCTCCCTCTGCTTACGTCTCTGCCTCTCTGTGTCTCTCATGAAGAAATAAAAATCTTTAAAAAAAAATAGGGTTTTCAGTAATCTGTAAAGCAAAATAAATCAGATTTAATTTTATTCTGACATTAAAGACAGAATGGAATGCTTTTGAAACACTTAAAACAGGGCAGCACCAGTGGCACAGCAGTTTATTGCTGCCTACAGCCCGGGGTGTGATCCTGGAGACCCGGGATCGAGTCCCATGTCAGGCTCCCTGCATGGAGCCTGCTTCTGCCTCTGCCTGTGTCTCTGCCTCTCTCTCTCTCTCTCTCTGAATAAATAAATTAAAAATCTTTAAAAAAATAAAACACTTCTACATGTTGATAACACCCAGTACTTCAAGGAGTTTGCAGAAAGATGCATTCTCAAACCACTGTTGTTGGAAATATAAAATGACACACATTGGAGGAAAGTATGGCAATGCAGGCTAAGTCATACAGCTATAAATTTATCCTAAATATAGTAAATACAAATAGACAAAGATAACATATTTATTATAGAACTTTTTTTTGGACAGAAACTAACTAGAAACAACCAAAATGTCTAGAGAGTGGAGAACTGTTAAACAATGGATGAAAAAAAAAAAAAAAACAATAGATGGGACACCTGGGTGGCTAAGTGGTTGAGCGTCTGCCTTTGGCTCAGGGCCTGGTCCCAGGATCCAGGATCAAGTCCCTCACTGGGTTCCTTGCATGGAGCCTGCTTCTCCCTCTGCTTATGTCTCTGCCTCTCTCTTTCTGTGTCTCTCATGAATAAATAAGATCTTTAAAAAATATATAAAAATAAAAAATAAACAATGGACTATACACAAAATGAAACTTAATACAGATTTAAAAGATGAAATAGTTAAGGTAGAAAAGATGCCCATAGTGACATAAGTACAACAAAACTAACCAAAAAAACAAAACAACAACAACAAAAAAAACCCAAAGCCAAAAAACACAAGTACAGGCACAAAAAAGTAAAATGAGCTGCTGGACAGCCCCGGGTGGCTCAGCGGTTTGGTGCCGCCTTTAGCCCAGGGTGTGATCCTGGGAACCTGGAATCCAGTCCCACGTCGGGCTTCCTGCATGGAGCGTGTTTCTCCCTTTACCTGTGTCTCTCCCTCTCTCTCTCTCTCTCTCTCTCTCTCTCTGTGTGTCTCTCACGAATAAATAAATAAAATCTTTAAAAAAAAAAAAAGTAAAATGAAAACAGAACTTGTAAATATCATGTTCTTTCTACATGAAAAACTGAGGATTACTATTTTTAGGGAAAAATACCCCAAACTTGAAAGGTTTAAGTATAAAATCCTTAAGTTCTTTTAAAAATAAGACAAAAGGTCCAAAATGGAGTTGTTTATGCTAAGCCCCACATTACCAAACTGAGGCTTAGTTTTAGTTCTTCCAGAAATGGAACCTTAAACCAGTCACTCAGGAATCATCTAATTAGCACTAGAGTTAGGTAATTTAACTGAAAAGAACTCTGCCATCTTTTCTAAAAGAAAGTAACTTTGCAATAATCAACCCTCTTTTTTGCCAGTTATAACTTCCTCATTCCCATTCCTTTTTGCCTATAATAAAGTCTTTAATGTTACAAGGATCCTTAGGTGGCTCAGTAGTTTAGGGCCTGCCTTTGGCCCAGGGTGTGATCTTGGACTCCTGGGATCGAGTCCCACGTCGGGCTCCCTGTGTGGAGCCTGCTTCTCCCTCTGCCTGTGTCTCTGCCCCTCTCTCTCCGTGTGTCTGATGAATAAATCATCATGTTATAGTTCTTTGGAGCTCCTAATCTGTGAAACTGGATACTATCCAATTTGAATTGATTTCTGTTCAAATAAAAATTGTAAAAGCCTCAGTTGATCTTTTAACAGTTCTCATATTTACTCTTGCATTAAATTAATGTCTTACCTGTTATCACTGGTCTTAGATGTTTGATTACTGAGTATAGTATGCTGTTTGGGAGCTGAACCTGTAATTAAGAAAATGAGTTACACATTAAGTTTTGTACTACTTCTCCATCTCTAATAGTTAAAAATCATTACCAAAAAAAAAAAGGAGAGAACAATGCTCTACATGTTTTATTTTTAACAAAAACCATTTGATACAACTAAAGCCCCTTTCTAGAAATTACTCTTCAGAGAAGTGGGAGAATATGCTCTACTGAGCCACAAAGGGATCCAATGGTAGACTAAGTTTGCTTCTAGTTTCACCAATCGCTAGTTCTGAACAGTAAAGGAAACTGTGTAAATCCCCATATAATTATACAATCCCTAAATGGAAATAAATGGGAGCATTTCTTTGTTTTAAAAAAAAATTGTAGTCTCACAAGAAACAGTGTTGGTGAGGATGTGAAGGAAAAGGAACCCTCTTGCAGTATTGGTGGGAATGCAAACTGGTACAGCTACTGTGGGAAATAGTATGGAGGCTCCTCAAAAAATTAAAAATAGAATTACTGTATGATCCACCAATTCCACTGCTGGGTGTTTACCCAAAGAATATAAAAATAGTAATTCAAAAAGATATATGTACCCCAAAGTTTATTGCAGCATTATTTAAAATAGTCAAATTATGGAAGCAATCCAAGGGTCCATTGGTAGATGAATGGATAAAAAAGACGTGTGACATATACATATACATACAATGGAATATTACTTAGCCATAAAAATGAATGAAATCTTGCCAGTTGCAACATGGATGGATCCAGAGGCCGTAATGATAAGTGAAGTAAGTCAGTCAGAGAAAGATAATACCATGTGACTTTACTCATATGTAGGAATCTAAGAAACAAAACAAAGAAAAAGGGACCCCCTGGATGGCTCAGCAGTTGAGCATCTGCCTTCGGGCTCAGGTCATGATCCCGGGGTCCAGGGACGGAGTCCTACATTGGACTCCCTGAGGGGAGCCTGCTTCTCCCTCTTCCTGTGTCTCTGCCTCTCTCTCTGTTTCTCTCATGAATAAATATTTTTAAAAAGAAACAATGGATTTTCTAAAGGAAAAGATAAAGTTGTCCAAAGTTAGTTGACATTGGCTAATGTGCTTTGTTTCTATTTTGGACCTAATCTTATTGGTCATCCAGGCCATTTTTGTTGTTGTTGTACTTAAGTAATTTAAACAAGAAAGAGAAGTAATTCTATCCTACAAATAATGATAGTAAAGGAAAGAAAAATAAAAAAAGAATGGTGATAATCAAAACATTTGAAAAACATACCCAAGAGTTCTTCAGTCAGTATTGTTTCCTATCATACTGACAAAAATATCTCTAACACTGAGAAACCCAAATAATATTTTCAAAGTTTTACCTGGAAATTTATTCTCTCCTGTATCAATTTTTGCTTGACCGAGCAGAGCTGAAACAGTAGAGATATTTCCCACTGGACTGTTTTCAAGCTTGGATTCCAAACAAAGACTGAAATCCTGAATATATAAAATTCAAAATGTTAATATTTGCCTTCATATCAACTTTTGAAACTCATCCTAACACACTTTCAGTGAATTTAAGCATATCAAGAAAATTTAAGATAATACTTTATAGTTGGAGTAATTCAAACTCATATGCCTTAAAAGTCTCTTGATTTCCCCACAGCTACCCTCCTTCAGCGTCGGTTCCCATTATTTCCCTTCATGCCATCTTGTAAATCCCATAGACATATTCTATATCTGCCTAGCTCTACACTTTTTCTGTTTCATCTATGTAAATCTGCACTGTCCAATACAGCAGCCACACCTCATATGACTATAGAGCACTTAAAATGTCATATGATTCATTTGAGATTATTTTGTAACTGTCAATCATTCACCAGATTTTTAAGACTTACTACAAAAAAAAAGTAAAATAGGTCAATTTTTAAAATTAATTACATGCTGAAATGATAGTATTTTTAATATGACAGTTAAAAATATATATTAGTTTTACCAGTGTGTTCTTTTAAGCTGGCTACCAGAAAATCTTAAGTAATATATGCAGTTCATATTACACTTCTACTGGATAGTGCCAACCTAGAACCTTTCCCCTGCATCAACTAAACTCATTATTTAAATATTAACCTCTTCCACGAAGCCTTCTACAAGTTTCTCCATGCATTTTTTCCAATTTGTGAATAATTCTCCATCTATTTCACCTCTACCTCTTTCATGTCCTTATCACTATTATCAATTATTTTTTATTCATCTTCTTAAGAGCAAAGATCATATTATATTTATCTTTGTATTTCCCAAATCAAAACACTGTCAAAGCTGATACTCAATAACTACCAAAAGAAAATACTCCAAACTCTATCAACGTTGGCTCTATCTGTATTGTGATTATTACACCCAACACATAACATTATTTTTTAGTATTTTTGGAAAAGTGAACAATTTTTGTCATTGAAAAAGCAGAATAATTAAAAACAAGAACCATGACAAATTACTAACTAATCTCCATTAAATAGGGAGGAATTTAGTAAGTTTCTGACTTAAAAAAACAAATCATAAAATAATTAGGCTTTAAAATTCATGAAGTTCAAATAATTTAAAGAAGCCTACCCAAATGCTTATAGCCTTATCAACCATGATCATTTCTCTGCACTGCCGAAACTGACATAAAAATTACAGGCAGCCATAGAAAAAGATTTCATGATGTAAGGTTTATTTTTATATTTTCCTTCTTCCCCAAGTATAACCCTGTTAAAACACTGAAGCCAATCTCAGTTTAAATCCTAGCTCTACAAAAAAAAAAAAAAAAAATCCTAGCTCTACCACTTACATGTCACTCAGATAAATTACTTTCATTTCTAAGCCTCGATCTCTTCACCTGTAATATGTAGGTAATAACAGAAACCACAGTGCAGACTGTGGGGACAATTTCTATGAAGCTCTCCTTCAGCAAAGAGGCTGTGTTCACCAAAGGCCTATTATGTCATTAGCCAAAAGCTATTATGATGATTGAACTAAGCTACCTCAATTCTTAGTGCTTATAACATGAAGAGAAATCTCTTAAGTGACTGTTACAATGTCAATTCCTTAAAGACAGGAAACATTTCCTCTTCTGTAGCCCTAGCAACAATGTCTTGGACACAGCAGGCACAACTGTGTCTTGAATTGGCATGGTTACCGTATTCTCTGATCATTCCGTGGAAGTGATCACATTAAAAGTATTGGTGAAAAGAATAGAATCAACCTAAAAGGGTTTTAGAAGAGGAAAACATAAACTGTGGTATACTCATGTAGAGCTATTAAGATACCCACATATTATTATCAAATGTTGACTGCACAAAACCAAGTAGCAAAAAACTATACACACACACATATACACCAACTATGTTAGCATTTAACTTTTAAACACTTAAGACATTATAACATTAAACATACATATAAGATAATTTAAAATACAAAGTGTTAAGTATTCTTTGTGGATACATATACACATACACAGTGAGATCATAAAAATAAAGAAAAGATGCCCACCAACTTCACAAACATGTTTAATTCTGGGAAGAAAGGTGAATAGAAGGACGAGACATAGCCTTTTCCTTTACCTGTAACGTACTTTTCTTATTTCAAAAGACCTGAATTCAATAAAATGTTAGTTTTTGTCAAATTGGGGTGGTAGACACAGCGTAATGTTAGTTTCTGTAGTATTCTGAATGTTTGAAATATTCAAGAATTTACAAACATAAATAAAATTTTTAGCAAAAGTTTCATAGGATGGTTTCTCACAATATACCTCAAGAGAGAGGGACTACACAAATCCAAAGCACATTCCAGTAAAAGCAATATTAGAGGTCGAAATAATGTGATCTAATTAAGCAAGCATCTTTATTCTAATAGAGTAGTCCAGAGTTACAATTCTTATTCTTCAATATAATTCTCCACAAACTGAGGTTTCTTTTTATTTTATTTTAGCAATGTTACATTAATTTCAGCTGTACAACATAGTGATTCAACGTCTCCCTATACATTATGTTATGCTCACAAGGATAGCTACCATCTGTCATCATACAATGCTTCTACAATATCACTAACTATATTCTCTATGCTATGCCTTTTTTTTCCCCATGACTTATTTCACAAACTGAGTTTTGACAGGCATTTATATTTATGCAGCAAGGAGTACAAGATAAACTCTGCAGCTAACACCTGGAGTACAGCTATCAATCTGCGACAAAACATACCCTGAATAGAAAGCCACTCCATCTCTGATGGAAGGAACACTTGTTATTCACACTACCACTCACTACTTCTAATTACTATCACTATTTGAATAATTATCTTCTAATTGATGCTTTCATTTCCATTTGTTCAGAAAATAAAATCTAAGAGTACCATATGGTATCTGTCCCCTTTAATTTGATTTGTACTCCACTGGAAGAGACAATGATCTATTTTCATGGCTTCTGGCATAAAGCCCAGACTCCTCACTCATTCAAATTATCTCTAAAGAGAACTTTAAATCATTACCAAAACTTTAAGATGACCTGACTTTTTTCTCTCCTCACAATGATTTTTTTCTCAAATGATCTCATGTTCAAAGTATCTAACTATAGAAAAAATGCTGACCTGAGAATCAAAATACTTGAAAATTCAATGCTATTTGTGCTCCCAAACATGTGACCTACATCACATTCCTCTACTGCACTCAGTTTTCTCATTACAAAAGTAAACAACTGAAACAAATTAGTGAAGTCTTTCAAATCTGTATTATAGAGCTTCATGTTCTATGCAAAAAAAAAATTTGCTTATGGGTTTATATACTGGAATTTTGCCTATGATTTAACTTGAAAAGAATTGGCACAGGTGCTTTTAGTTTCCAACTACTTCCTCATATAATCATTAAAGTTTCTTCTAGCTATTAGATTCCATTTACTTTTAGATATTGTTTTTCAATTTACTTTCCCATTTTAAAAATTATTGGCCGCTACAATCTTATTTAAACTAAAACTGAATTATTTACATCTTTCAGCCATTTTATTTACCCAACTATTCAAAATGGTCACACAAGTCAAACTTTTAAGTTTTAAGTTAAGTTTAAGCATTCCTGCTAAATAGAAATGTTTAATTTTTAAATTTTATCAGGTGGAAAAAAGTGGGTTGATTTGTGCCAAGGTGAAATTAATTTTAACAATTTGGTCAGAATAAGGCCCAACTTTAATTTCTTTATTTTAGTCACTATGAAACATAGTTTCTATGGTTACAATTAAAAGAAAAAGCAAATCAGTGTGTTAAAGAAAAGTTTAGGGGTAAATGAATGGGCAAAATGAGTGAAAGGAGTGAGAGATACAGGGTTTCCAGTCATGGAATGAATAAGTCATGGGAGGGATGCCTGGGTGGTTCAGCGGTTTTAGCGCCTCCCTTCAGCCCAGGGTGTGATCCTGGGGTCCCGGGATCAAGTCTCACGTTGGGCTCCCTGAGTGGAGCCTGCTTCTCCCTCTGCCTATGTCTCTACCTTTCTCTCTCTCTGTGTGTCTCTCATGAATAAATAAAATCTTAAAAAAAAAAAAAAAAAGAAGTCATGGGAATAAAAGGAAGACCATAGGGAATACAGTCAGTGGTATTATAATAGCATTATATGGTAATAGGTGATAGCTATACTTGTGGTAAGCAAAGCATAACATATAGAGATGCTGTACACCAGAAACTAATATAACACTGTGTGTCAATTATACTCAAAAAAATTTTTTTAAAGAAAAAGAAAAGCTAGAATTCAACAGGTTTAGAGTTCACATTAAAAAAAAAACAAAAGGTAAAAATTAGAAATGAGAAGCATTTATATAAAATGCCAGACATCTAAAATCAGTAAGTTCTATCACTCACTACAAGACTGAATACAACACTAACAATTGAATAGGCGACCTTAACAAATGACTGTTTTTTATGACTTGATTTTTATGCTAAAATATGCTGTAAAAATTTATTTAATAGAACCTCTATTGCACATAATGAAAATAAATTACCTTATCTGGTGTTGATTCAAAAGACTCTTTCATCTGGTTATCCAATGGTGGGTCAGGAGGTGGTTTTATCTGATTATCCAAATGGCAATTTTCAGGAGCCCTTTTTGTGGTTTTATTAACTTCAACTGTAACATCATTAGTTTTAACTTCTTCAGAATTAATTTCTTTCATTTCTTCCTGCTGGCAAGCTATATTTTTATCATTATGTGGTTTTGTTCCTAAAAATGTACTTTGAGTGGCTGGATGATGCATTTCTAAGGCTGGTAGTGAAAAACTGGTTCGTATTAAGCCCAATTTAGGGGAAACTTGAGAGTCCAACTTATTTTGCTGCACAGAGTTAAACTTTGAGAGTTTAATTTTAGTCCAGTTGGAGTTCTTTTTAGTTGAGCTGTTTATTCCATTTAGTATACATTTCACAGGCTTTGTTTTCCTACTGGGGAAGAAACGATTACAATGAACATCCTGATTTGTTTCCTTCTGATGAAGTATTTGTCTTTCATTATCAGTCTCTTCCAATTTTATTTCTGTAGGCTTCTCTTCCTTTACACTTTCCATTTGTGAAGATTCCTTTTTTACCTCTACAGTATCTGACTCAATCTCACCAGCAATTTCTTCACAAAGCTGAAGAATGCTACCTCGTTTGCTCCTTCCCGCTTGCTCCAGCTCATTATCTACACTTTGTTCAGGCACTGATGGCTGTGGACTTTTTTGGGATTTTGCACTAGTATTTACGTGCGTATGAACTGATTTCTTTACCTCATTCTTTTTAGAGACCGCTGAAGTAATCATTTTTGAACTTTTTATCTCAGAAGTTACAGGCACAGATTTTGTTTCCTCTTTCTTAACATTCTTCTGAAGATACTTTTCAGATCCTTTTATACACTGAGAACTACAAGTATAAGCTGTTTGATGCTCTACTCTGCGTTTTTTTCCCTTGGGGGAATTTATTACTTCATTAGTTACTAGATGTTCATCCTCTTTAGAATCAGACTTTATTTCTGGTACTTTTCTTTTCACATGTTTTTGACTTGTTTTAACTTTATTAGATTTACTTTGAGAATTGTTACAGTGCTCTTTTCTTGGTGGCAAAGTCTGTTTAACTGCTTGAACCTGACCTTGAATTTCTCTATTACGTAGAGACCTTGTTGAAACTTCTGTTAACTGTTGTAGTCTTTGTGATCTCCGATTAAGTTGTTCATTTGATTTAGAAGTTCCATGCACTGAATTTTTCTGAGGTAATTTCTTCTTTTTTTTTGTAGATTCTTGTTGTGAATGTCCCTTCACAGTCACCATATTTTTACTACTGGATTTACTAGCTTTTTTATCACTGGATGCAGCTTTTGCTGACCTTGTACTCATGCATGTTCCTAATTCAGGCTGATTTATTTTACTTTCACTAGAAGATTTAACCAGTGATTTTACAGTTTCCTTTGGACCTGATTTTTTTGCCAGATTTGATTGAGAACCTTGAATTTGTGTCTCTAAATTCTTATCTTCACTTTTTTTAATAACATTGGAGGAATTTTCTTTTGATTTCTCCTGAATGGACATCATTCCTGAGTAAAGTCCTCCTTTTCTGAGTAGCTTTTGAGAGGATTTTCGTGTCCTGGTAGGTGTGAATGCTGAATGTCTAGTATTATTATTGAGGAGGTCTTAAAAATCAACTTTGAGGCTGATGTACATTTTCAACAAAAATACTAGTTTGCTTCAAGTAAGGTTTCGGTCATCCCTAGGACATGAGAAAAGCTGGTATGAAGCCTGAAAGATACTTGCTTTACTTCTGGACAAGGCAATAGAAATTTGAGGAAAATTTAATTCTAATTTGATATTTCTAAAGCTTTTTATGAAAAAAAAAAAAACTTAATTCAGGTTCGATCTGTTTTGTTAATTTTTCAATTAATAATGGTTTTCAGGCCTAGCCCTATTACTGGAGGAGTTATTTATCACTGACCTGTTTTGACAAAGATTTTGAAAACTTTTTTCTTCTGAAGTCTACAGTTACTGGACTTCGATTCATTTGAAACATGTCTTACAGCTAACAGGTTTCTTTCCTTGTTTGCTGAGACTGTTAGTTTAAAGTTCTTATCTAACCTCTTTCGTTTAATAAAATACTCTATTAATAGAGATTTCCTTTTGTGCTGCCATTTCTGAAAAATTAAAAAAAATTAAAATTAAATTTTGTACAATCCAAGAAATATGGCAAATGCGATACTATATAAAAATAATCTTATTTATATAAACCCAACCTCTCCTTTTTATTTAGTCTGTATATTTAAGGCTAACAGAATAGAGTATCCCAATTACATCCTTATGAACAATCAATAACTTATTTTATATAAGCATAGAATAGTTGAGGGGTGCCTGGGTGGCTCAGTCAGTTAAGCATCTAGCTTCAGCTTGGGCCATGATCCCAGCCTCCTGGGATCTAGCGCCATGTTGGGCTCCCTGCCAAGCAGGGAGCTTGCTTCTCCCTCTCCTCCCCATTTGTGTTTTTTCCGTCTCTCTCTCTCTCAAATAAATAAATTTTAAATTAAAAAAAAAAAGCATAAAATAGTCAAAAATCAGTTTATTCCTTGATGTTACTTACAATTCTTTTCCCACAAGACAGAATTGATCTTTCAGCCACCATAACTCATGAAAATTTGGCAAAATCATTCCTTAAAGTATCCTCTTAACACATTACACAGCACCTAAAAAAATAAAAAGGTTTTTAAAAATGTTTAAAAGGCACAAAGATGCAAATGATTCATTCACCACTCATTAAACACAACAGTCCACAATTTTACGCTGTCCCATCATTAGTTTTCAGGATTTACTATATACATACCGTTTAATTTTAGTATTTCTAACCTGAAGTAAACTATCCATTTTATGTCATAGAAAAAACATTTTTAAATACAAAATACAATTCATAATACATACACATAATGGTTAAACTGGTAAAGTAAAATCCTATTTTGAGGAAAAAAGTGCACATAACTACTTGTACATAGGAAAACACTGATACACAGTTTAAAGGGCAGATTTAAGCACACACGTTTACTCTCACGTAAAACCTACTTTAAAAAAGCAATAGATTAAAACAAGATAAAACCATAAACCTGAAGGATTAAAAAAAAGAGTAAATGGTAAAAATAAAAAATATGGAAGCTACAAAGAATGACAAATAGTAACTTCTAGACTCAAGAAAGCTTGAATACTAAGCTGGAAATGGAGAACCATAGAATCCCCCAAACTCAGGGCTCCACAGAACATGAGAATGAAAACAGGACTCAAAAAAACAAAGATTCCAAAACTGCCATTCCAATTACAAGCACCCAGAAGACTGCCCCTGCAACCCCGAAGACCCTAGTATAAATCTCTGGAAAGAGTATAACAAAAGTGCTTTAGTCTAGGGGCTCAAGACTGACAGGTAAGGGAAGCAGTACCATGCTGACAAGAGGTGATAAGTAAGAATACACATACTGATTGCTGAAACCCACTCCCTCCATCTGAAGTTCTCTTTGCCTACTCAAGAAACTTCTAGAGGAAGCAGTCAACCCTGTATCTTCCTGGAAGGAAACTAGAAGAGCGTTTTTTAATGAATTTGACAGGCCTAAAGGTAAAAGATCTAAAAACATACTGATAGACCCCATAGTGAGTAAGCGTGTGCATGCACCTGTGGGTGCCTGTGCTCGTGCACACACACTCACACACCCTATAGTCAAGAAACCACCAGCCCATCTACCATCCAAACACACAAAACTTCCAAATTAGTTTTTAGTGTCTCACTTGTAACTCTGAGCAAATAAACAAGAATCACAATATACATGAGGAAAATCTGAAAAAAAAAAAAAAAAACCAGGAAACCAATAGCTTGGCAGAAACTACATGAAACCAAAAATTAAAAATAAGCTAATCTATTCATGAAACAAACATACAAGAACATTCACAGTAAAAAAGGAACACATAAAAATTAAAAATAATATAAAAGAACTTAAAAAATCAATAAAAGCATTAGAAGAGGCCTGGGTGCCTGGATGACACAGTCAGTAAAACATCCAATTCTTGGTTTTGGCTCAGGTCATGATCTAAGGGTTGTGAAACCAAGCCCCACACCAGGCTCCCACTCACAGACTCTGCTTAGGACTCATCCCTCTGCCCCTCCCCCTCCTACCCCGAGGGCTCGCAAGCAAGCACAAGTGCTCTCTCTCTCTAAAATAAATAAATCTTGGGGCGCTTGGGTGGCTCAGTCAGTTGAGCATCTGCCTTAGGCTCAGGTCATGATCCCAGGGTCCTGGGATTGATCTCCACATCAGGATCCCTGCTCAGCAGAGAGTCCACTTCTCCCTCTCCTTATAAAAATAAAATAAAATAAATCTTAAAAAATAAAAGCATTAGAAGATGATAGTATGAAGATCTACAAAGTCAAACAAAAAAGACAGAGATGGTAAGTAGGAGACAAAAGAAGATAATTAAAAGACCATCCTTAGTGGTTCAAGAGTCCAGTAATTGGGGTTTTAGAAAAGAAAAAAAAAATGAAAAAAGAAAATGAAGATTTAGGAAATTTTCCTAGTACTGAAAGAAATGAGCTTCCAGACTGAAAGGGCCAAGAGCACCTAGTACAATGGATGTTTTTCAAAAGCTGTTAAAAAGTGTATCATGAGGACAAAATGATGATCCTCAAGCTTCTACAGAGGGGGGTAAATCTTGACCACATACATATTATACATGTAAATTATTATTTGCAAGGAAAAAAACCCACAAAAATTATTACTCTGTGAATTCATAAAGGTGTATAAATAAAAAATTTAAAAATCAAAACCAAAAGCTTTAAATAAACAATCAGCTGAAATATATAATACAAGTAAGTTATCACTTACCAGTTTATAGCAACAACACATACACAAATCAATTTAAAAAGTAACGGGCTGTAGATTTGTGTCACTTAGTTAAAATAATTAACAATTTAGTTCCAACAAATCAACAGACAAGAAAGTAACAGAAGAGAACAGAAACTCCAAAAATAGGCCCACTGCAAAAGGGAAGCTAATAAATATAAAGGTGGTATTAACTTAATTACTTTCAAATTAATGAAGAAAAGATTATTCAACAATTGATGTCAGGACAAGTAGATAACCATCTGGGTAATTTTAGTTTAAGAGTGAGGTTATGGAGATCCCTAGGTGGCTCAGTGGTTTAGCGCCTGCCCTTTGGCCCAGGGCACGATCCTGAAGTCCGGGGATAGAGTCCCGCATCGGGCTCCCGGCATGGAGCCTGCTTCTCCCTCTGCCTGTGTCTCTGCCTCTCTCTCTCTCTCTCTCTCTCTCTCTATGTCTATCATGAATAAATAAATAAAATCTTTAAAAAAAAAATAAAAGAGTGAGGTATGTCCAGGAAAATTTAATCATTAAAAATTAATTAAAAGTGGGCGGCTCGGTGGCTCAGCGATTTAGCGCCGCCTTCAGCCTAGGGCCTGATCCTGGGGACCCAGGATTGAGTCCCATGTTGGGCTCCCTACATGGAGCCTGCCTATGTCTCTGCCTATGTCTCTGCCTCTCTCTCTCTCTCTCTGTGTCTCTCATGAATAAATAAATTTTTTAAAAAATAATTAAAAGTTAAAACATAGCAAATAGATTAAAATATGGGAGGATTTTAATATTTATTTTCAGAATGAGAAAGACTTTCAAGCCTTGTCAGAAAATTCAGAAGCCAGGTTTGAGGAACAAAATGAGAAATACACTGGCAAGAAAAAGCAAAAGCTAATCACCATGATATATTCACAGGAAAAAAGCCACAGATGGCTGGTGTGATAATAACAGAATAATAGAAGTTAGAACTAAAACAAAATACCATTTTTCAAAAAAAACACACAAAAAAACATTTATCACATATCAGACTGGCCAAGGATCAGGAAGTTTAACACAGTATTGGCAAAGGTTTGTGACAAATACTCTCACATTAGTGCAGATAATTCAATGTCTATACAGGACAATTAGGCAATATCTATCAAAATTATAAATGCTAATTTTCAAACCATTCCATTTCTAGGACTTTAGAAATGCACCTGCAGACACAGGTGCACTAAGTGCTCAAAGACAAATATAAAATTAATTGCAACACTTTATCAACAGACTGAATACCCCAACAAACAAACATGGTGTATAAGCTACTTATAAAATTGACCTAATTATATATATAACCAATAGAATACCCCATAATCTCCAGTCTTTTTAAAAAAAAAATTCCAGTCTTTTTATACAGAAACTGACAACCTGATTTTAAAACTTATAGTCAAAATTTAAAAAAATTTTTTGAAATACTATCAAACTTCAAGACTTACAAATCTACAATAATCAAGATAATGTAATACTGATAAAGGAAGCAGAGATCAATGGAATAGAGAATCCAAAACCAGACCCATACGTTTATGATCAAATGAATTTTCAGCAGAAGCGCCAACACAAATCCATAGGGGGAAAAGTCTGAAAAAATGGTGCTAGACCTACTAGAAATCTAAGTAGAAGAAAAGAAAAAAAAGAACTTCAACCCATACCTCATACAACCCACAAAAATAACTTGAGATTAACCAAAGAAATAAATATAAAACTATAAAGCTCAAAAAGAAGGCAAAAGCAAAAATCTTTGAGGCAGGCAAATATTTTTTTAACCAAGAATCCTGGGATCCCTGGGTGGCTCGGCGGTTTAGCGCCTGCCTTTGGCCCAGGGAGTGGTCCTAGAGTCCCAGGGATCAGGGATCAAGTCCCACATCAGGCTCCCTGCATGGGACCTGCTTGTCCCTCTGCCTGTGTCTCTGCCTCTCTCTCTCTGTGTCTCTCATGAATAAATAAATAAAATCTTCAAAAAAAAAAAAAAAAAAAGGCAAAAATCCTGCAGGACTCTGTAAAAACTATGTTCAAAAATCTTCAAAGTGGGCAGCCCCAGTAGCCCAATGGTTTGGCACTGCCTTCAGCCCAGGGTGTGATCCTGGAGACCCAGGACTGAGTCCCACATCAGGCTCCCTGAATGGAGCCTGTTTCTCCTCTACTTCTTCCTCTGCCTGTGTCTCTGTCATGAATAAATTAAGAATAAAATCTTAAAAAAAAAAAAAAAAGCTTCAGGCAGCCCTGGTGGCGCAGCGGTTCGGCGCCACCTACAGCCTGGGGTGTGATCCTGGAGACCCGGGCTCCCTGCATGGAGCCTGTTTCTCCCTCTGTCTGTGTTTCTGCCTCTCTCTCTCTGTATCTATGAATAAATAAATAAAATCTTAAAAAAAAAAAAATCTTCAAAGCAAGGATGCCCGGGTGGCTCAAATGATTAAGCATCTGCCATCAACTCAGGTCATGATCTACAGGTCCTAGAATGGAGCCCTACATTGGGCTCCTAGCTCAGCTGGGAGTAGGCTTCTCCCTCTCCCTCTCCCCCTGCTTGTGCTTGCTCTCTCTCAAACGAATAAATTTTTTAAAATCTAAAAATAAAAAATCTTCAAAGCAGAGGCGCTTGGGTGGCTCAGTAATGTTAAGCGTCTGACTCTTGATTTCATCTCAGGTCATGATCTCAGGGTTGTGAGATCAAGCCCCACATCAGGCTCTGTGCTGAGCAAGGAGTCTACTTGAGATTCTCTCCCTTTCCCTTCCCTCTCCCTCTGCCCCTCACCTCCACTCTCTCATGCATTTGCACATGCTTGCTCTAATAAATAATTATCTTTAAAACAAAAATCTTCAAAGCACTTCTATGCACAATAACCAAAATCTGAAAAATAACAAAGGTCAGGTGAATGGGCAACAAAATGTGTTATATCAATAGTATAATAGAAAAGTACTCAGCAACAGAAAGGAATGAACTACTGGAACAGTATGATGAACCTCACAACCATTATGGTGAGTGAAAAAAGCTGGCCAAAAAGAGTACATAATGTATGATTCCACTTAAAATTCTAGAAAAAGTAACTATAGTTGACCCTTGAACAAAGCAGGAGAGCCAAACCCCAGCAGTCAAGAATCTGCATTTAACTTTTGACTCTCCCCAAAACTACTAATATAGCCTAGCCTACTGTTGACCAGAAGCCGTATCAATAACATTAACAGTCAATTAATACATATTTTGTGATATATGCATTATAAACTATATTTTTACAATAAAGCTAGAGAAAAGAAAATGTTAAGAAAATCATAAGGAAAAGAAAATAAATTTATAGTACTGTACTGTATTTGTTGATAGCATAAATTTACATCATCCTAAAAAAATAATAATAAATAAATAAATAAATAAATAAATAAATTTACATCATCCTTTTACAAAATGAATCATCTCTCAGGACCTACACCCATATTGTCCTAAATAATATAAAACACTATAAAGGTCACATGCTCTTATTAACAGTACACATCAAAAGTGAAAAGATATCGTGAAAAAAAATTCATGTTTACTTACAGATGTAACAATTTACACACTGTAATGAAGCAGCAATATGACTGCTTTATAGTAGCCTAGTATAACTGATCAATTGCTTCACGCTGGACTAGCAAATACACTAATGAATAAATCATATAACTTTCATGTCATACAGTATTACAGTCATACTCATTAATATATTGGAAACACATTTTTTCTAAAAACCACTTACCTGTGATGGCAGGCAGATATAGAGATACGCCAATTACAAAGAGACAGAGAAGCATACTGTACAGTAATTCTTTGAAAGTTACAAAACAGTAAGAAAACACATTATTAATTTTATATTAAATATCACTCACCTTATGCCTATGTAAGGATAGGCTATCCACTTCCACATAAGTCTTGTCATGATTTTCTACACGATGAATACTTAAGCAATGATGATGATGACAAAAAAACGTCTCAGACAGTTCTTGCCATACAGTTATTAGATTTTCACACGAAGACACACACACAACAGGTAAGTTTATTAACTGTATGGCATGATGATTATTTACTATTCATTAAATGGAAGTGGATCATCATAAATGTCTTCATCCTTGTTTTCACTCTTCACAATTAAGTAGGCTGAGGAGGAGGAGGAAGAGGAGGGGTTGGTCTTGGTGTCTCAGGGATAGCAGAAAAGGTGAAGGTGAAAAGGGAAGCAGAAGAGGCAAGCCAACTTGGTGTAACTTTATGGAAATACACTGTAATATGTCTGACAGTTTTGCTTTTTCATCTCTTTAAAAATGTTTCTATACAGTACCTACCAATCCTTCTACCATTTGCTTTAGCTTCAGTCCCCATATCATAGAAGGGTCCATGTCCTATAAAAAGTCAAAAGCAGTCTTAAATAATTAGAATTCTTCTGCCCGACTGTCTAATGTCAATCTGTTTTCTTGGCACTGCTTCATCCACATCTTCTTCTTCATCATCTGGCACTGGTTCAGATGTGCTTACCCGCATCAAGGCATCTTCTGTTAATTCCTTTTGTGTGGCATCTATTAGCTCTTGAATTTCTCCAAGATCTGTATCTTAAAAACCTTCACACACCCCCACCTTTTTGCCACATCTACCATTTCCTTCATGATTTCCTTTATTGGCTCTGTTGTAAATTCTGTGAAGTCATACACAACTTCTAGATACATTTTTCTCCTGCAGGAATCTACTGTTTTGGGCTTGCTGATTTTCACGGCTTATTCTATAAACAATGATGGCATCTTCAATGATGCAATCCTTCTAGACTTTCATGATGGTCTATCAGGGTTCTTTTCCATAATGCTGAACATTCTTTCTATAGAGTACCATGTGTGATAAGCCTTAAAAGTCCTGAAGACCTCATAATTTAGAGGCTAAATTAGAGATGTTGTGTTTGGGGGCAAGTAGACCACTTTGATGCCTTTGGTGTTGAACTCATTGGATTCTGGGTGCCCAAGGACATTGTCTAAGATCAAAAGAACTTTAAAAGACAGTGCCTTACTGGAAAGGTACTTCCTAACTTAAGGGACAAAGTATTGATGGAATCAACCCCGAAAACGGTTTCTCATTGTCCAGGCCTTTTTGATGTACAACCAAGAGTCTGAGGTGCCCCTAGCTGGCTCAGTCAGTAGAGATGAGACTCTTGATCTCCAAGTCATGAGTTCGAGCCTCACCTTGGACGAAGAGATTAGTTTAAAAAAATGTCTGGCAGCTGGTGTTTTTCTTTTCCCTTCAAGATTTGGAGATTAGCAGCTTTATACATAAGGACAGGCCTCGTCATAAATCCAATTGCATTTGTACAAAACAGTAGAATTAGCCTATCCCCCCCTGCCTTAAATACCAAGGCTTATTTTTCTTCCTTACTAAAATGTCCTTTGTGGCATTTTTTTTTCCCCAGAATGAGGCTTGGATCTACATTAAAAAACCCGTTCAGGCAGATATTCTTTCTCCTCAAGGATTTCCTTAATGGCATCTGGAAACTCATCTGCTGCCTCTTGGTCAGCAGAAGCTGCTTCCTCTGTTTTCCTGACATTTTAAAAGTCAAATCTCTTTCTAAAATTATCAAACCATTCTTTGCTGGCACTAAATTCTCCAGCTTTAGAACCCTTCACTTTCCTTTTGCTTTAAGTTGTCATATAACGACCTTATCTTTTCTCAAATCATATGAGTCTGTAGGTATGCCTTTCTTACAGCAATCCTGCATTCACATAAAAGCTGCATTTTCAATACAAGATAAATAGGTATTTCAAAAAGTACAAGGTTTTGATGCCTTCGGGCATAACTATAACAACAGCTTCACAAATTTCCTTCTCTTTTCCTACAACGGTCCTTAAACTAGATTCATTTATCTTAAAGTGAAGGGCAACTGTACCTGCAGGCCTTCAATCTATGGTACTTTATCAAGAAATTCAACTTTTTCTTGTAATGTCATGACTTTTCCCTGCTCCTTGGGAGCACTTCCAGCACCACTAGTGGCACTTCATATGGATCCCATGGTATTGTTCAAGGTTTACAGTATTGCACTAAACACAATGAAAAATATGCAAAAACTGCAGAGATCACTTTTTTTACAGTGATATACAATTTACTGGAGAGACAAATTGCTCACACAGAAATGATTAGCATCATAGGGTTTTAAGCAGACTCAAACACTTGAGCGCACCACAACAGCAACATGAGATGGCTATGAAATTATTACAGTAGAAGAGTACATACTATAGTTAATTTTAGCAGTTATGATTTAATACTGCATATTTACATTTCTTTTGACTGTAAATGATGCAACATACAGTCTGTGTGTGCATACATTTTAATAAATCTTAACATTTATTAACAGATCTGTGAATATTTTATGAGATAACTACATATATTTTATGTATTCATGAAACACTTAACTTTTTAATTTTTCAATATTTCTAAGCTACATGGTTTATCTGCAAGTTTTTTTCAAATTGCCACAAATCTCAAAAAAAATTTTTTCAAGACATTTATTGAAAAAAAATCTGCATCTAAGTGGATCCATACAATTCAAACCCATATTGTTCAAGGGTCAACTGTAAACTACAGTAAGACAGCAGATGAGTCATTCCCTAGTGTCAAATGAGGAGAGAGAGACAGATTTTTGGAAGCAATGGAAATGTTCTGTGTTTTGACTATAATGGCAGTTTCAAGAGTGCATTTATCTGTCAAAATACATGAAATTGTACAGTTTATTTTTTTTGAAATTGTACAGTTTAAAAGAGTGAAGCTTACTGTACATAAATTATACTTTAATAAAGCTGTCAAAAAAAAATAGTGCTGTAAGTAACTGATTCGGCCCTATACCTGCAACCAAGAAACATTATTAAACCAAAAAAAAGCAAGGTGCAGAACAGGGTAAAAATAGCAAGTTCTTAGAAAAAGAGTGGGAGAAAGGAAATGATTGTGTAAACACACAATAGGTATGGAAAGATACATAAGAAATAGTGGTGATTTCTTGGAAAGAGAACTACAAAACCAAGTGTCAGGATAGTGAAAAAGCTTACTTTTCACTATATATCCACTCAAATGTTTTATTATGTAGACATATAACCAACTTAAAAAAATTAAAACATGTTATATTTCTCTGGAAATATAAAGTATATTTGGCACACTGACTAATTCATCTCGGAAGGCACTAAATTATGAAAGTATAAGCCACTTACCTTACTAAGACAGAAATCACATATCACTGTTTCTTTAAGTTGACTGATGATGTTTCCAATGAATGGTGCTTCTAATAACTTCCTGTGTTTGGGAACTAATCTTAAAAAAAAAAAATCCTATTAACTAAAGTAAAACAATCTATTAAAACACATGAAAATGTACAAGTACTATTGTCTACAAACTCGTATATTAGAACTTAAGATTAAGGTAGACTAAGTAAACAACTAATGAATGACAAAGCATGATATTTTTCATTTTTACACCATATAATAAATTAAGATTTTCTTCAAATATAATCATCACCTACAAACCTCCTCTCCATGGAAGGAGTCTATTTTCCTTCCCAACTGGTGCTAAGTTTGGTCACAGGTCTTCCTTTGGCCTCATGGTGGGCAGAGTATACCTCCCTGCCCCCATAACCCTAGCCATCTAACAATGGTATATTAGCAGAAATGATGCACACAGAGGTTTGAAAGGTCTTTGTGCAGTCGGGCTTGCCCTCTTGTACCCCGGCCCTCACCATGAAAAGAATTTCAGGTAGATGAAGGCAGCCCTTCAGCATAGACCCCAAAATAAAGACATACAGTAGAACTGAGCCAAATCCCAAATGAGGTGCCAAGCCCAACCAACAGTGAGAAATAAAGCCTACCCACACCCAGAGCTGCCCAGCCAAGCCTAACCTAAGTCACCTAACCCATTGCTGCTCTGAAAATGCATGATCAAGAATAAATAACTGCTGTTTATTGAGTTCTAGGGCAGTTTCTTTTTTTTTTTTTTTAAGATTTTATTTATTTATTCATAGACACAGAGAGAAAGAGGCAGAGACACAGGCAGAGGGAGAAGCAGGCTCCATGCAGGGAGCCCGATGTGGGACTCGATCCCGGGTCCCCAGGATCACACCCCAGGCTGCAGGCGGCACCAAACCGCTGCGCCAGTGGGGCTGCCCTCTAGGGCAGTTTCTTATACAGCAAGAGCTAATACATATCACAACTATTATCTGAGAAGCCCTAAACTTACCAAACATTAAGCCCCAGAAATATAATTTAAAAAACCTCATTTATCATCTTTTATTACTTTACCACTAAGAACTATAATTTTTAAATGATTATTTATCTTCTTTTATATCTATTCCTCACAATTTCTAAATATTCTAATAATAGATTTAACAGTTGAGACCTACCTTAGAAGAGAGTTAAACTGATACACAACTCTACAGTAATTATCAATCACCTATTCAAGTGTGCTAAGAACTATTTCAACTTAAGTTTGCCCCTCATGCTGAACTATCACTAACCTAGCATTACAGAACTTAATAAACCCCCTTTTCTTCATAACCCTTAAATAAAATCTTGCAATCAAGAACTGAAAAGCACCCTCTCACCCGTTAGCAAACTGATAAGACTCCTCCTTCCTACACCCCAGACCTAGCTTATTAATATAATCCTAAAGAAAATATCAGGGTCAAAAAAACAATAATTAAGCTTTACATTAAATAACCACTTCAGAAAACCTAAGGTAACATTTATATTTTACTACAGAAAGAAATCTTACAAGGCTCATTAGAAAGTACCTGAGACTGAGTACATACAATTTCCCCACAGTGCTTTATAATAAAATGTACTCAAATTTTAATCATTTAAATATTTTGATTTTTTTTTTTTTTTACATCTTAAGATTGTATTTGTTTACTTAAGAGAGAGTGCACAAGCAGGGAGCAGGGTGGCAGAGGGAGAAAGAGAAGCTGACTCCCTGCTGAGTCAACATGGGGTTCAATCCTAGGACCTGGAGATCACGACCCGAGTCAAAGGTAGATGCTTAACTGAGCTACCCAGGTGGGGTACCCAGGTGCACCATGATTATAAAAAAATTTTAAATAGAAAGGAAAAAAAATAATTTGGATTGTACGTCACTCAATATATTTTAACATTAAAGTCATTTTTTAAAAACTTTTTTTTAAAAGATTTATTTATTTATTCATGAGAGAGACAAAAAGAGAGAGGCAGAGACATAGGCAGAGGGAGAAGCAGGCTCCATGCAGGGAGCCTGATGCAGGACTCGATCCCAAGACTCCAGGATCATGCCCTGAGCCGAAGGCAGACGCTCAACCACTGAGCCACCCAGACGTCCCTTAAAAAACATTTTATGACCGGGGAGCCTGGGTGGCTCAGTCAAATTGAGTGTCCAACTCTTGATTTCAGCTCAGGTCACGATCTCAGGGTTGTGGGATTGAGCCCTGAGTTGGGCTCCACACTCAGCAGAGAAATCTGCTTGAGATTCTCTCTCCTTCTCCTTCTGATCCTCCCCCACTCTGAAATTATTTTTTAAAAATTTTAAAGAAATACTTTATGACTGACATAGAATTCCTTACCACAAAATTCACCATTTATAATATACAATTTCATGGATTTTAGTATAGTATATTCGAGTTGTGTAACAATTGCCAGTATTTAATTCCAGAACATTTTCAAGACCTCAAAAAAATCCTCCAAAAAAAACAAAAAACATGCTCATTAAAAGTCATTCCCCATTCCCCTCTCCCTTCAGCCCCTGGTAACTACAAATCTACCTTTTATGGATTTGACTATTTCAGATGTTGCATATAAGTGGAATCATACAACATGTGGCCTCTTGTGACTGGCTTCTTTCACTTAACCATGTTTTCAGAGCTCATATAACATTATAGCATGTATCGGTAATGACCCGTTATTTTTATGGGTGAATACTATTCCACTGTATGAATATGTTTTGTTTAACTATTCATCAGTTCATGAATGTTTGACAGATTGTTCCTACTTTGTGGCTGTCACAAATTATGCTATGAACAACCCTAATGAGTTTTTGTGTAAACACAGGTTTCTAGTCTCTTGGTTATATACCAAGAAGTATGACTGCTGGACCATATGCTAATTCTACCATTTTAGAAAGACTTTTCCAAACCAGAAGTATCATTTTACATTTCCCACAGCCATGTATGAGGGTTCCAATTTTTTTACATCCTTGTCAGCATTTTTTACTATTCTTTTTAAACTTTAGTCATCCTTTTGGGTGTAAAGTGCTATCTCATTGTACTTTTGATTTGCATTATCCTAATGACTAATTAAGTGACCATCTTTTTTTTTTCTCCAGTTTTATTTATTTGAGAAAGAGCACGAACGAGAATGAGAAACAGGGAGCCCAGTGTGGGGCTTGATCCCAGGACTCCAGGATCATGACCTGAGCTGAAGTCAGATGCTTATTTAACCAACTGAGCCACCCAGATGCCCCAGTTAGCTTCATTTTGTGAGCTTATTGGTCATTTGTATTTCTTCTCTGCAGAAACATATATTCAAATCCTTTCCTCATTTTTAAAATTGGGTTGTTTTCCTTTTTATTATTGAGTTTCTAACAATTCTTTATCTAAATATTACCCTCTGAGCAGGTGTATGGCTTAGAGATATTTTCTCCAATTTTTTTTTAATTTTTATTTATTTATGATGGTCACACAGAGAAAGAGAGAGGCAGAGACACAGGCAGAGGGAGAAGCAGGCTCCATGCACCGGGAGCCCGACGTGGGATTCGATCCCGGGTCTCCAGGATCACGCCCTGGGCCAAAGGCAGGTGCCAAACCGCTGCGCCACCCAGGGATCCCTATTTTCTCCAATTCTAACACTTGTCATTTCATTTTCTTGATAGAGTCCTTTGATGCACAAGTCTTTATGTCCAATTAATCTAGTTTTCTTTGGTTGCTTGTGATTAGGAGTCATATCTAAGAAACTACTACCTAATTCAAAGCCATGAAGATAGGGACCCCTGGGTGGCTCAGTGGTTGGGCGTCTGCCTTCGGCTCAGGGCATGATCCTAGAGTCCTGGGATAAAGTCCCACGTCAGGCTCCCTGCATGGAGCCTGCTTCTCCCTCTGCCTCTGTCTCTCTGTGGCTCTCACGAATAAATAAAAGAAAAAGAACGAAAAACAATGAGGATTTATATGTTTTCTTCTATGAGTTTTAGTTTTAGCTTGTATTTAGATCTCTGCTGCATCTTGAGTTCATTTTGTATATGGTACAAGATAGGAGTTTTGCAACTGTCATTGCACCATTTATTAAAGACCATTCTTGGGCAGCCCCAGTGGCGCAGCGGTTTAGTGCCGCCTGCAGCCCGGGGCATGATTCTGGAGACCCTGGACCGAATCCCACGTCAGGCTCCCTGCGTAGAGCCTGCTTCTCCCTCTGCCTGTGTCTCTGCGTCTCTCTCTCTCTGTCTCTATGAATAAATAAATAAATATATCTCTTAACTCTTAAAATAAATAAATAAATAAAAGCCCACCAAACCCAGGTTTGGGGGTTTAAAAAAAAAAAGACCATTCATTACCTACTGAATTGTCTTGGTAATCTAGTCAAAAAATCAATTGTCCATAAATATGTGGGTTTAATTCTAAATTCTCTATCCTGTTCCACTCATCTGTATGATGTTAATGCCAATACCACAAACACTTACTGTAGCTTTGTAGAAATTTTTTTCTAATTGAGATATACTCGACATATTGCATTAGATTTGGGTGTTTAACACACTTGTATAGATTTCAACATGATCGCCACAATAAGCCAGTTAATGTGTCTCCATACACAGACACTAAAATCTTTTTTCTTGTAATGAAAATTTTTAAGATCTACTGTCTTAGTAATTTCCAAATATATAATATTATTAGTTATAGTCATCATGCTGTACATTATATCCCCATGACTATTTTATAACTGGAAGTTTGTACCTTTTGACCCCTTCCTGAACTTCACCCATTTCACCTACCCCCAACTCTGGCAACCACCAATCTGTTCTCTGTATCTATGCACTTAGTTTTTTATTTTTGTTTGTTTTTAGATTCCTCAAATAAATGGGATCACACAGTTTTTGTCTTCCCTGACTTATTTCGCTTAGCATAATGCCCTCAAGGTCTATCCATGTTGTCACAAATGGCAAGATTTCATTTTTTATGGCTGAGGAATACTCCATTGTGTATATATTTTTTCATCCATTTATCAATGGACACTTATGCTGTGTTCTTAACTACTATGAATAATGAACAAGGGATGCATACATCTCTTTAAAATAGTATTTTTGTTTTC